ACTTAAGGTTCAAATTTGGCACTTTATCTCTCAGTTGGTTCATACAAATATCAATGTAATTGTTCAATACAAGCTAAGATACACTAATTGTTCCGAGGGATCTATTAAGTCGGGAACCTAGTTCAACTTGTAACTCTAGAGCCAAGTTAAGTGCACACAAGAAAATGATGAAGTTCTAGATGAGTACTGACCTGAGTTTTGGTGGATGTCACAGTCTCCCCCAGTTGTGGGAATTTCGTCCCGAAATTCAACTGGCGGTAACACTGGTTCGAACATAACGAATAGTTGAGGATATTTGTTCTTCATGAAATCCTCCCGTTCCCACGTAAACTCGGGCCCATGCTTAGAGTTCCAACGAACTTTCACGATCGGTATTTTACTTCGTTTTAGTTGCTTAACCTCTCGATCGAGGATTTCTATAGGTTCCTCCAGGAATTTTAGTCGATCATTAATTTGGAGGTCCCCGAGGGGTATGTGTAGGGATTCCTCCGCCAAGCACTTTTTGAGGTTCGACACATGGAATGTGTCGTGTATCGCACTCAGTTCATCCGGTAGCTTGAGCTTATATGCCACTGGACCAACCCTTTCGATAATCTCGAAGGGTCCTACATAACGGGGACTCAGTTTTCCTCGTTTACAAAAACGCACGACTCCCTTCCATGGGGATACTTTTAAGAGTACTCTGTCTCCCTTTTGAAATTCCAAGGGTTTCCTACGCTTGTCAGCATAGCTCTTCTGGCGATCACGAGCTGCTTTCAGTCTATCACGTATTATCGAGATCTTCTCAGTGGTTTCTTGAATTAAATCCAGTCTCGTTAACTGCCTATCGCCAATTTCCAGCCAACATAGCGGGGAGCGACATTTACGCCCATACAAGGCCTCATAGGGGGCACACTGAATGCTGGTATGGTAGCTATTATTATAGGAGAACTCGACTAATGGCAAATGGTTATCCCAACTTCCTCCAAAGTCGATCACGCAAGCCCGGAGCATGTCTTCTAACGTCTGGATGGTTCGTTCGCTCTGACCATCTGTTTGGGGATGATAGGCGGTAGTTAAGTCTAAACGGGTCCCCAAGGCTTTTTGAAGTGACTGCCAAAATCTAGATGTAAAACGGCTATCTCTATCTGAAATGATGGAAATAGGTACCCCGTGGCGTGCTACAATCTCGTTTATGTAAATTCGAGCAAGCCTTTCCATTCGATAATCTTCTCGAATGGGGAGAAAGTGTGCGGATTTCGTCAATCTGTCCACCACCACCCAAATAGAATCGTGTCCCTTTGTGGGCCTTGGCAACTTGGTAACAAAATCCATGGATATTTGCTCCCATTTCCATTGAGGTATTTCTGGTTGTTGAAGCAAACCGGAGGGCTTTTGATATTCGGCCTTCACTTTGGAACAAGTTAAACATTTCTCAATATACAAGGCAATATCTTTCTTCATTCCAGGCCACCAATAGTATTCCTTTAGATCCAAGTACATTTTGTCGGCTCCAGGGTGGATCGAGTATCGGGAATTATGGGCTTCCTTTAAAATTACCTTACGTAATTCGTCGATCTTTGGTACCCATACCCTATTTTTGAAGTACTTCACTCCATCTGAACGTGTTTCAAATTGTTGTTCCAGGCCGTGCAATGTTTCACGTTTCAAGTTCTCAGTTTTTAACGCTTCGCCTTGAGCAGCAAGGATTTCGCTCTTCAAACTGGTTTGAACAAGGGCTCCGAAGGCATGTGCTCGTGAGGGTTTCACCCTTTCCTTCCTACTCAACGCATCGGCTACAACGTTGGCCTTTCCTGGATGGTATTTAATTTCGCAATCATAGTCGTTGAGTAATTCTACCCACCGCCTCTGTCTCATGTTAAGCATCTTTTGATCCAAGATGTGTTGTAGGCTTTTGTGATCAGTATAAATAGTGCACTTAGTTCCGTACAAGTAATGTCTCCAGATCTTAAGGGCGAATACCACCGCTCCTAATTCTAGGTCGTGGGTTGTGTAGTTTTTCTCATGAACCTTCAACTGCCTTGACGCATATGCAATAACCTTGCCTTTCTGCATCAGTACGCAACCCAGACCTTGGTGTGACGCATCACAATACACTGTGAAGTTCTCCACACCATCTGGCAATGCCAAGACTGGCGCATTACACAACTTATGTTTCAGCAATTGGAAGGCATCTTCTTGTGGTTCTCCCCATTCAAATTTCCTATCCTTTTGGGTCAAAATAGTCAGTGGTTGGGCAATTTTGGAGAAGTTCTCAATAAAGCGCCTATAATAGCCCGCCAATCCCAGAAATTGCCGAATTTCCGTCGGGGATCTTGGGGTTTCCCATTTCTTAATTGCTTCAACTTTGGTGGGATCCACGTGTATTCCTTTTTCTACAACCACATGACCAAGGAATCGTACTTCCCTAATCCAAAATTCACACTTAGAGAACTTTGCAAATAATTTTTGGTCTTTCAACAGTTCCAAAACTAACCTAAGATGTCGTTCATGCTCTTCTTTGTTTGGGGAAAAGACTAGTATGTCGTCAATGAACACGATCACAAACTTGTCAAGGTACGGCCTACAAATCCTATTCATAAGATCCATGAAGGCAGCTGGCGCGTTAGTTAGCCCAAAAGGCATAACTAGGAATTCATAGTGTCCGTAACGAGTCCTGAAGGCGGTTTTAGGAACATCTTCATCGCGTACCCTTAATTGGTGGTATCCCGATCGTAGATCAATCTTTGAAAAGTACGTGGCACCCTGGAGTTGATCGAACAAATCGTCTATTCGAGGAAGGGGGTATCTATTTTTGATAGTCAATTTATTTAGTTCTCTATAATCGATGCACATTCGCATCGATCCATCCTTCTTTTTCACAAATAAGACCGGTGCACCCCATGGTGAGGAACTTGGACGAATGAATCCTTTTTCCAAAAGTTCCTGAAGTTGGCCCGAAAGTTCTTGCATTTCAAAAGTGCCAAGCGGTAAGGTGCTTTAGCTACAGGTGCCGATCCAGGAATTAGATCAATTCTGAATTCGACTTGTCTTGCTGGGGGGAGTCCAGGCAACTCTTCTGGGAATACTTCGGGGTATTCTCGCACTATTGGAATATCCTGAATATGTTTTTCTTCTGATTTCTTTTCCACTACATGAGCCAAGAACGCAAGGTATTTCTTCCTCAGATATTTGTGAATTTTCATGCATGAGACTATCTTCAAGTTCTTGCCTGGTTTCTCTCCGTACACTATAAGGGTTTCGTTGTTTTGGAGGGGTATTTTGACAACTTTCTCAAAGCATCCTATGTCTGCTCGATTCTTGGACAACCAGTCCATTCCAATCACTACGTCAAAGCTTCCAAGTTCAATGGGTATAAGGTCAATACTAAAAATTTTATCAGCTAAGTTCAAGGTACAATTAGGAACTATCTCCCTAGCCTTAATTTCATGACCGTTAGCAACTTCAACTACGTAGGCATGTTCCAATATTTTTGATTTCAAGTCGATTAGGGGTCTAAATTCATGTGACACAAAACTTCTATCTGCCCCCGAGTCAAATAATACTGATGCATAGTGGTTGTTTAGGAGGAATGTACCTGTTACCACCTCCGGGTTCTGGCGAGCCTCTTCCGCCTTAATCACAAATGCTCGCCCACGAGCCTGGCCTCCTGGATTTCCACGGTTTATATGTCCCGCCTGGTTCCTGGTATTGTTGTTATTGGGGCCCTTATTCAGATTCGGGCAGGCATTCCTAAAGTGGTCCACACTTCCACACTCATAGCATCCCGTTTACCATCCTTGCGATCTTTATCTATCCTGCAATACTTTGCGAAATGTCCAGTTTGATTGCACTTGTGGCAGATAGGGCAGGCACCCTCATGATGATAACTGCATTTCTCACACTTAGGTTTAGGCCCTCGGTATTGCACAGGTTCCTCTGTTTTAACCGCAAAGTTTGTTGCCCTTTTCTTGTTCTTTTCTGAGTTGTCATTCTTCTTCCTTCCCAGCTGGTTCTCCGATTTTCTTTTGTTACTTGTGTTGCTTATGGTCAATATCCCGACCCTCACTTTATCATTCGTAAGGCGGTGCGCCAGGTCTATAGCGCTATGGATTGAGGTAGGATTTGCTGAAGTAACCATGCCTCGGATTTCTGGTGCTAAACCCCATATGTATCGGTCAATCCTCTTGCTCTCAGGGGTGACCATGTGCGGCACTAGTTCAGCGAGTTCATGGAAACGCACAGTGTAGCCTTCCACATCGGCTCCTACCATGGCATGGTTCCAGAAGTCAGATTCCATTTTCTGGATCTCATCCTTACGACAGTATTCCTTCTTGATTAACTCTTTGAATTCCTCCCAAGCTAATTGGTTCGCTGCCTCCCTTCCACGGTTCCGGACTTGCGCATTCCACCACGTTAAGGCTCTGTCTTGGAGAAGGCATGCAACATAGGGAACCTTGCAGTCATTTGAGCACTTGCTGATGTGGAGTACAGGCTCAATTCCTTCTATCCATTTCAACAATCCCACTGCACCCTCTGTTCCATGAAACTCCTTGGGTTTGCAAGACATGAAGTACTTATAGGTGCATCCCCTTGTTTCCTCATTACGAACTCCGCTTCCATCGGTGTTCTCAGTAGGTGTAGGGCCTCCATGGTTTGTCTGACTAGCATTGATTCCCGCAGTGACTTGAGCCACAATGTTAGGGATAGCAGCCATTAGTTGTTGCGAGACCAGTTGAGCAATATCGGGAGTGGCATTCTCAGGCTGTGTTGGGCGTGAGCGGGTGTTTCTTCTTTGGGGCATGGTTCTATAACACACAAACAAAATTAAGGACGTTATTATCATTATTAATTAGTTTTTTTTCAAAGAAATAATAATATTAATAATAATAAAATATATTTTCAAGAACGATTTCAAATCATCAAAACAATTTACAGTTCATGAAAAATATAAGTGTGAAATAACATGGTGATTGAAAATCATTAAAATAGATTTCATTCGTAGTTCGTACATAAAAGGTTTAACAAAGCATATTGCTTGATACTGCAAGCTACAAAAGACACTTCAACCATAGTTCTCAAAAGCCATAAACCAAAGGCATTACATCAAAATACATAGACCAAAAACGACAAAACATAAACCATGACGTTTAGATTCAACCCCAAAACACAATCACCCAGACAAGTGCCACTGCCAGAATCAATGCTAGCCCTCCAGCGATAGCGCTAGTGATCATAGCTCTGATTGCTGTCCTCTGGGCGGGGTATGCATAACCACACACCACATCCACCACGTCTGACATGTCGGCTATGCTGTGATGATGATAAGCAATCCTACTACGGGCATCATGCAGGTCTCGGGCCATGGCCTCCATGCTGCGTCGCTCCTGACAAGTCATCCCGGGTGCTCGTATATAAGGCGTCCCTATGACTGGGGGTCGAGGCTAACTAGGCTCGAGACGCTCACTCCTTGGTGCGGGAGGTGCTGGCACGGGTTCTGGACGCTCGAACCTCAACACTTCTCTCGGCATTGGTGCGCTCTTTCTCGCTGTCCTCCTGTGGTATAGTCCATAAAGGGGTGGCTGAGGCGTCAGCTGTCGTGAAGGCTCGGGTATCGGCGGGGCTGAAGTTTCCTCAGTCGGTGCCTGGCTGCTCACTTCCTCTCCAGTCTCTGATCCTGTAGACGGATCTTCAGTCGATTCGGTGCTCGAGTCGCGGTTGACTTTCGGGCGCGCAGTGACGTAACCAGACTCATCTGCCGATCCAAGTGCTTGAGTGCTAGTGTTTGACATGGCCACGCTGTACACGAGAAACTCTAATGTTTAGATGAATTTTTAGCCTTCTAGAAAATTTCTATTATGTTTGATGTTTATGTTTATCCTAGGGTGTTGATACCATTCACTATAATCAATTCCGGTCTTGCACTAACTCTTCCTTAATTATACATAGGTGATCAGGCTATGTATAATTAAGGTCTAGTAGCGCATTACCGGAATTACTTATACTAAATGGCATGTTTTATTAACTCAATGGTTATAGTTTAGGCGTCCCTAAGGGAAAGGGGAAGCCGGTATTCTCTATAACCTTAGGCTCTGATACCAAATCTGTCACACCCCGTTAAAGCGGAAACACGAAGAGTGACAGGCTAAGGTCTCATCACAAAGGTAAATAGAAGTACCAACCATAAACATTAAGCGTTTTAAGTTTACATCGCGTACAAAACAAATACATTCAGTTTTCACAATACATAATTTAATACATAGTAAACGTAACAACTTAAATCATGCTAACGTCTTGTTGATTCACTGACCGTTCCCTGAAAAGCATGCAAAAACGAGGGTCAACTATAAAATAGTTGGTGAGTTCACAGGTTTATAATAATATATATTATTTCAAAAAGGTAGTTTATTCTATAAATGTTCCAATTTAGAAAACGATGAATGCCATTGCATTCCGTTCACAACCAAGCCTAACGACCGTTCCTGCCCCATTCCATCATGTCCATGGTTCCCATGATGTCAGTTCATGGAAATATGCACTCGCGGTTCCGGGCGAGTGGGGGCTGTCGACCCCAAATAGCGCTATCCATAAGACCATCGGCTCAAATATGAGTTAATAGGTTGTATCGGTTCTCTGGGGACTTAACATACAATTTCATAACACCACATTCATAGTACAAGTTCATAATAAAAGGTTCATACAACAAAGTTCACATCACTAAGTTCATAACACAAGCTCGTAAAATAATGTTCATAGAAATTGTAGCATGCTTTTCACCCCAAAACATTAAAACGTAAAATAAGGGCTGTGAAAACTCACAATAGAAAGTTTGTGGCTCGGGCTTCGCGGTTTGATGTTGACGAGGGCGATTCCTACTAGCGTCCTATGGAACAAATAGTTTTAGTGAGATATAATTCACTAAGCTATATCCAACTAGTGATGTCGTAAAAGTGCCCAAAGTGTGTACGATTCATTATCGGTAACATTAGTTCATATTATATTGTGTTCAAAATTTTACAAAGGCATGGAAATAAATTCCGAAAATTACAAAAATTAGTTTTATGGTTCTAACAAAGAGCATTAGTGTCCAGAAATTTTGTAAACATTTTGAAGGTTATTTGATATATATATATATATATATATATATATATATATATATATATATATATATATATTTAAATTAAAGCCCAAATAATGGATAAAATTATAAATAAATAGTAAATGGTTTCTAAAATTCTCAATTTATTTTTTACAGGCTCCTAACATGTTCCTAAGGTTGAGAAAAATATTGTTTAGGGTCTTTGAGTTCAATGACCCAAATTTGTAAGTTCATGCTCAAATTTAATGAAAAATATGCATAAAATATCAAACATTGTCGAAATCATCTGAAAATTTACATGGCTTTCTTATTCAATGAATACATTACTACTACAAATTTTCAGATTTTTATCTCTTATGAAAACGATTATTTTGAATTTATAGCCATTAAATCATTATTTTTATAGAAAAATAAGGGATTGGTTTTAGCCATTGGGGTTTTACAGATCATCACTTGTATATATGAACTTTCATAAAATAATTTTCTTGAAATATATTTAGAAGCAAAACAGGGGTATTCAACCCCAACAAGTTAGGCAATGCAGCACAATATAGTGCATGAGTTCTAGATGTAGCTGAAGGTTTACGAATTTGTATAGAAACTTCTGTGGGGTTTTAACCCACAAAATTTTAGACACCATTTGTTGGATATGTTAAGTTTCTAAAATATTTTTGTTCAGATTTAAGGTGGGGTTTAAGACCCTTGATCATGTAAAGCAAAACTAATGATCACAGAAAACATTCTGTTTGCGCAACTGTTTTATAAAAATTGTCTAAAATCATATTTTTAATGTTTTACAGTAAGACCAATTGGATTCGAAAGCTAACGCAAGGGACTAGCCCTCAGAAAACGAATATCATGATTTGGTTTAGTAATGAGTGAGTTGTGCCCATTCAAAGCTGAACAAAATATTCTGACAGATTGCATGTCATCCTTGGTTGCGTTTAGTGCTCCCTAAAGGTCACTTTTACAAAGACAACATGTATATTTCTTTTATGGTCGAAAATAAATAACAATAAAATAGATTTTACAGAGGAATATGAAACTTTTAGGTTCATACATCCAACTCATAGATTTAGGGTTATTCCAAGGCCCCCAAAGTGGGTGTTTCATTCATGTGATAGAGAACTCCTTGAAACCACCGAATCTTACACTAGGATTGCACCACAAATCCAATTTCTAGCACATGCATGGAGTGAATGAGCATCCAAGATGTACTAGAAATGTTTTAAATACTTTTTGTCATGTAAGAACACAAAATAAGTGAAGAAGAAGATGTAAAACTCGATTTTTGAAATCATATGAGCATATGTGCATCTTTTCACTCTTTGAATGGGTTTGATCCCGGATTTTCACCATCTCAAACACATGTATTGTGTTATGGTGAGAATCTACAAACACCAAGAGGAAAAACAAGGATTTCTAGCCATATAAGGGCATAGAATCCGAAAAGTAAAGAAGAACTATGAAGAAGAGGAAGTAAAATCATAAAACTATAATAAAGGATTGTGTTGTTTACCTTGGTTTTGATCTTAAGAGAAGCAAGAACACTTCTTGACCTTCAAAAATCTGAAATTAGGACAGAGAATGGAGGATTTTATGATGTGTAGGAGTGGTCTTGGAAGTGGGAGATTTTTCTTGGAGAAGGAGTGTGAGATGGAGTGTGTAGGTGGTTCAAATGAGGTGTAATGATGGGTTTTAAGGCATGGGGGAGAGGGAAAAGCCTAATGGACGAAAATTTAAGAGGGATATGGTATTTTTATTGATATTAGATCAAATAATAAAAGCCTCCCTTGAATTCTTATAAATCTAGATTTTATATTTTATAAAAACTCAAACATTATCATAATCTCCTAAGGTTTTAATTATTGGGTTTTGTTGAAATATTTACACTAGGTAATAACTTGTAAATTTATATTTGTTGAATTAATTTAGAAAATGATAACCTATTATTTAATTTTTTTTATAAAAATCAATTTCTCATATTTCAACAACTATAACAAGGATTCATAATATGTGGTTGTAAGATTTTGATATCCTTGGATTTTTCTTTTGTTTCACATTTCGAATCATGAATTATATGAATTTCTCATCAACTTTATAGTTGGTTCATATTATGGTTTAATTTTGTTCATATTAGCTTAAAATACTTAACCTTGTTAAGCATTAGATTTTTTTTTCCAATATGGAAATTTTAGGGTTGCTAACTTACCTTGGGTTATGGTCTACCGAACATAGTGTTGTGTTTGGACTTAAGGTTCAAATTTGGCACTTTATCACTCAGTTGGTTCATACAAATATCAATGTGATTGTTCAATACAAGCTAAGATACACTAATTGTTCTGAGGGATCTATTAAGTCGGGAACCTAGTTCAACTTGTAACTCTAGAGCCAAGTTAAGTGCACACAAGAAAATGACGAAGTTCTAGATGAGTACTGACCTGAGTTTTGGTGGATGTCACATGTGACAGCTACTTTTTGACGCATGGCTACTTTTACGCAGTAATGGTCCGATTTTCAAGGTGCCACGTCGGATATCATTAAATACATATCCCGCTTCAAATTCAAACTTCAGGGTTACATATAAAAGGGGATTCAAGGGTTCATAATCAGTTTACGCGATCAAAAAAAAAAATTCCCAAATTCTCTGATCATCAAAGTCTTCAAACCCTAACAATGGCGACTTCTGTTTATGTTGATGCTGATCCTTCTCAAACCACTGAAGATGTCTCTTCATTACCAATAATGAAGATTCAAGCAACAAACTATTACTTGGAGGGTGATGTTTCTCAATACCCGGAAGAATTGAAGATGTTAATCGTTGCCTTGAAGAACTCTGTTTTGTCTAAGGCGATGTTCAGTTCATTCTCTGTTCCACTGTCATGGATTTCTTAAGCAGGATCTACTGCTACTTACAACAAAGCTTCTGATACAATTACTTTCCATCTGGTGAATGACAAAAAGGTCAGGCTATCCAAGAAACTCTTTTGCCAAATTCTTGAAATTCCGAATTCACCTCCATATGTTGCTTTCACATTCCCTCAAATCGTTAATATGTTTAATGAGATGGGATATCAGCCTCCACTATCAAAGATCAGTGATTTTAAGAAATCTGGTCCTCCACGACTATGGAATTTCTTATTTGGTATTTTTCTAAGATGTTAAACTGGAAGAACAGTTGGTCTTGATAAAGGAAGAATGGAGGTTTATGCAATGGTTGCTGGTATATATTATGATCTTCAAGTGGACTATTCTACACAATTGTGGAAGGAATTCCAAAAGAGTGTAGAACACACGAAT